CACCCCTTGCTTATATAGCCAGTGGGGTGTGGCCCAGTGACTCAGCTGAACTATCTGGCCCGGCGTGTCCGCTGCTGCGCACGCTTCTCCTTTCGACGCTGGCGTGGATCCAGCCAAGACGTATCCTCTTCTGAGTCCGATACATCTGGCTCCTGGCTGATCCCCGAAGCACCTGGCTCCTGGCCAATCCCAGAAGTACTGGGCTCCTGGCCAATCCCAGAAGCACCGGGCTCCTGGCTAATCCCAGAAACACCGGGCTCCTGGCCAATCCCAGAAACACCGGGCTCCTGGCCAAACTCCTCGCTGTCGGAAGTCACCGAAGGCCGCACCAGAGGGGAAGGGCCTGGAGAGGAAGGCCTGGCCATCTCCTCTCCTTCATGTTCAGAGCCTTCCTCCTCTGATGAGAGGGACCCACCGGACGGAGCCACAACACTATCCCCCACCGCAGGGCCCTTTCCCCGGGTCTGACGGTCGGGATGCGGGCGGGACGGAAACCGGTCGTGAAAGGCCCGTACCAGGTCACGGGCCTGAACGGAAGACGCGTCCACCCAGCTGAAATCGTCGGGCCCGTACCCCTTCCAGGCGATGAGGTATTGGAAGCGCCCCTTCAGCCAACGGGAGTCTCAAATACTGTCCACCTCGTACGTCGAGGCGTCGTCCTCGTCGGCTGCGACCGGAGGGCCAGGCATTGTCGGGCGTCGGAGATGGCTCGCAGGGGCCTCAGGGACCAGGAGGGACCGATGAAACACAGGATGGAGTCGCATGGAGCGTGGTAGAGCCAACCGGTAGGCCACCGGGTTGATGACCGCCTCGACTGGGAAGGGACCGATAAAGCGGTGGTCCAATTTCCTCATCGGCCGGTCCGAGGGGAGGTGTTTCGTGGACAGCCACACCCGATCTCCGACTTCCAGCGGTGGCGTGGCCCGTCGGGAGCGGTCGGCGACCCGCTTATAGTCCTCCTTCGCCCGAATCAGCTGCCGTCGCACCAGTTGCTGCACCGCCTGCAGCTCCGAGAGGAAGTCCTGGGTCTCGGGAACAGGGGAATCTGGGATCGCCAACGGGAACAACCGGGGAT